ATTATCTCAGGATAAAGAAAGAATCACCAACAGCTTGGAGCAGAGATGAGTGTGCTGTGTATGTGTGTTCTCAGGTGTGCAGAGGCTGCTGTTCTACCTGTGGGTTCATGTGAGGCCAACAGCGGGAAGCATCAGGGTGTTCCTGCAGTGATGGAGCTGATACCATCCAGCCAGGGCAGCCCTATAATCAGCCCACCGGCTCTGGTGCTGCTTGTGCCTCAGACTGACAACCCTAACGGACTTGGTGAGCCTCATGAGGCCTGTGCCAGTGCCACCACAACTCCTGCTTCCTCCACGGTAACAAGGGCTTCCTGTTGGTTTTTAATTTTTACTGGGAACTGCATATGACCTCTTCTTGTTTCCTGAGGCTTGCAGGCTTTACAGTGTTGACAGGTTGGGTGGCATTGTGAAGTGCCAAAGCGGCTTCAACTGTTTTACTTTGACCTCTGCTGGATGTATGCCCAGAGAGCCATACTGCCTCACCATATGAGGTGTGGCTGAAGAAGACAAGCAAGGTGACACCGGGTGTGAGAGATGGAAAGTGTTGCATGTCAGCATGATAAATCTCAACTATTTAATTGGAAGTGCAGTCAGTTCAGACTCCTGTCTTACTACTTTTCTGGCCGATATTGTTCCTCCATGTTGAATGTTGATTTAGGAATATTGTGTTTTTTTTTGTGCCCTTGAGGTACAGAAAATATCATCTTGTCAGACCAGTTTTTATAAACCTGACGCAGCACTCAGTCTTCATTGATTGCATCGAGGATTTAATTTAAAACACATCTAAAAAAAAAAAGCAATAAAAGGTCAACTCATTTCTGAAACACTAAAGTATTGTTTTAATAACACTGAACTGACGTGTGTGGTCTCTTTTTCCCTGTAGATCTGCTCCCTCCTGTTCAGGGCCTTGTCCTCAGAGCAGGACAGTGATGGTTGTGCTGCCAGACTGCCTGTTCTGGCATGTTACAGTGACGGAGAGGAGAATATGGAGGAAGACTATACAAGAAGCCCTTCACTCTGAGAATGGTGCTGTTATTCATTCAGTCATCTTGACTTTGTGATGCTGCAAAAAGTCGGCTACAGCATTCCTAACATAACTATAGTCAGAATGGTAAGATCTAAATTAATTTATATTTAATGTACTTTGTATCTGAAGTTGTTTTTAAGCATGTTGTTTGTAGGCAAACATGGCTTTGCTCATTTTAATTGATTTAATAGTTTCCACACAATGTTCAGTGTGAAATTTAAGAGAATGTATTTATAATTATTTATGAAAGAATATATCAATGAATGTTTTGGCAATTTCAGTGTGTGACATTCATTCGTCTAAGCATGTAAGAACAGACTGATCAGTCTGTGAAAACATTACTCCAGCTTAAAAGGTGCCACACCTGTCTGCTGATGGTAACTTAGTATGCCTGACGTCTGAGGAATGTGGGAGTACACACACACTAATCGTACAAGGCGTTCTTGAGCATTATTCAGTGAGGTAACCACTGGATGCTAAATGTGATAATGTCTTGATGGGAAAATGCTGAGGGATCTGCACTGGTGAAGAAAACACCTGTGCAATGTACTGTGTAATAATCGAGCAGACCACATGGTGTTCTCATCTAAAACCAGCTGGAGGTGTATGCACACATCAGTCATCAAATACAACAGGATAATAAATACTATACTCTTTATTTAAATATTGTACAGATTTGAAAATGTTTTTTTTACAGAGCTTAGAGCTTATCTGCATTGAACTGTACACCCAAAATATATATATAGAGAGAGACACATGCTCTGGTTGTAACAAAGTGTTTGGAAAAGGAAGATGAGACGACAGGAAAGTGTGTCAGGACAGATATGAGTCAGGAAGCAGGAACCACAAAGCTAACAGTGGCAGTACCGTCTGACTGGGAGGATTGCTTCGTGATATTAAGGCTGTTTAGATTGTCCTCAGTGCTCACTGCTCTGCCATGCCCACCAGCCCCATGTCAAAATGACTCCTGACACTGCAGTCTTCCAGTGTGAACTGGTCAGATTAAGTAGGGAAACAGTCCATTAGATTGTAAACAGTGATCTTAAGATCCACAGGGAGGATTCTGTAAGCGTGTGATGGCTTTATCACTATTCATAAGCTCCTGACTGAGTGCAGAGAAGCACATTTCAGGAGGAAAAGGGTTGAACACTGTAGGTGAAAAGACCTGGTGTTAAGACGGCAGGGCATGATAGGAAAGCTGTTTTGACTCTTATGGCTACTTAACAGTATGTGTCAGTACCTGGCACATGGGGGGGGTTAAAGGAATTATGGACATCTGCCAGTATCAACAACACCTGATACAAGGCACATTATCATAACATTACACAAAATACAGACTTTACTAAGAAATATTTTTAACTATGGGTAAAACTAAATGCAAAGTGCAAATCTGTAGTGATGTACTGGAAACCTAATGAGCATTTTTCAAATGAAACCTGCAGTGACCTGACTTCTGAATGTGCCATTGGAGCCCTACAGCAGGAGGGGGAGAAAGGAGCAAAGGAAACGCTGATTGAGAACAAATTTCTAAAGCTACTCTGATTCTGTGATCAGTCCAAAGAATTCAACAATCCCACTGAACAAAGAGTTACAAAAATACATTTTGTCACGTGACCAACTTCCACTGTGTTGAGCTTTTTCAGATATGCTTCTTAAGCTTTGTGCGTTTAAGACTGCGAGACCAATTCAGCCCAGTGGATATGGAGTAGTCTGTAACCTTCACATCCGTTTCAGACACCAGTTACAGACCAAACACCCTGACGAGCACAAGAGTGCATTCATCACACTTACACATGTTCACAGACACATCACATGTAATCGCAAGAGACTTGAGCAGCAGCAGCTGTGAGATTAAAGGGAGGGCAGCATCAGTTTATAGAGGTTTCTGAGCTATAAAATCCTCATCCTAATAGACACGAAGTAACAGAATGTGTGCAAAACTTGAATTGCACTGGCATTGAAAAGGCAGCTGCCGCTCTTCTTCATTAAATCTTTTGGATTACCCTGCCAAGAAACCACAGATATGTAGAAATGTCACATACACTCACTTTTTTGCATTTAACAAAACCTCCCAGAACAGCACATCGGTCATATCCTATTATCAAATTTATGCTTTCCGCACCCACATACACAGTTCCAGACCCTTTGGTAAAAGGTTTTCTAACTACCACTGTATCATTAGGAACATCCGCTTGCACAGTGCAGCCCATTTATTGAGCCCTAATGCCGCCATTTCCTGTGCAGTTCCCTTCTCGACACTACTGATGCACTGTATCTTTCCCTTCCAGCAGCCCAGTGTGGGGCCGCTTTAACAGTCTTAACACCTACCGTCTGGCTACATCTGCCTCTGTCTCTGAATCTCAACCTCCTCCCTGCCCAAATCAGCCAACAGAGAAAGACGACTTATCCTCGTCAGACACGATCCTCATCTCCAATGTGCCCAATGACTGCTTATCCCGGCCAATGGGATTATCCAGCGAGCACTGGGACACTGCAAAGATGCCAACGCTGCAGCATGGCCAAGAAGATGTTTCAGAACTCTAGTTCTCTTTATTCAGCCCCTCTCTGATGTACATAATCACAGAGAAGTGGGCATGTAGGAGTCTTTTCAGGGTGGAGGAGAGATTGATGGTCAACTGAGGGGCAGAGTAGAGCTAGTGCATGCAGGGGAAGCATCTGACATCAGTCCTTCATCCTGGCCAGCAGGAATCAAAGCAGTCCATCACCTGCAGAGGCAGACGCCCCCCTGTCACAGGGCCACACAGACTCTAGTCTGTGTATTCTGCCACTATGGACAGCAGCACTGTGATGTCATCTGGCTTTCCTCCTGGACAGAAAAGAACAGCGTTGTGTTAAAACGGTGCCGAGCGAAAATGTTTAATGTTCCAACGTTGAAAATATTGAATGGTACCATAAAGCTCTGAAGAGCAACAGATCTTCAGCTTCAGTTTCCATTTGCTTCAAGTGGAACGGATACACTTACCTCTTACATTCAGTCCATTGTCACAGGCAAACTGTGCAAAAGGCGACATGTAGTTGGGGTCATACGCCAGTACGTGGGCCTGCTCTGCGATGCTGCGGGCAGTCTGCTGGATGCTCTCATAGTTTGTGTTCTTAAGAGCAAAAACAAACAAGTCATACAGTTTGTATTCCACACATTGTTATGATTCCACTTCCACCTGCAAACCTGTTTGGGCCTCAGCGTCACCTACCTTGAGTTTCTTCAGCTCCTGCAGGATCATGTAGTCGGGCATGTTGTCGAAGAGCCCATCGGTGGCAGTGAGGATGATGTCACCCAGCTGGACATCGAAGGAAGAGCTGTCTGCTGCGTCAGGGCTGCAAGGACAGACACAGTAAAGTCAGGCAGAGAACACTGCATGCAACAATTGTAAAAAAACATTAAAGGGAGTTAAAATTTGTTGAAAATTAAAAATACAGCATCAGAGAGGTTGTTGTTTTAAGCTTTTTCTCTCTCCCTTTTACACCCCCGTACAGGAAATCTGTCCCGTCTGAGCTGATAGATTAATCTGAACCTTTAAACCCACTTCTCCTCTACTCGAGGAACACTCAACGATTACAGCACATTACTCTAACCAGCGGAAAAAAATCTACTGACAAAGCTGTAAAAGCTAGACTACCAACTGCTACTGATATTTTAGTTTGGCTAGAAAAACGTAATCACGTGCAGGATGAGGAACAATTCAAGGAATAATCACATGGGGCTTTTGTAAAGAACACTCAGTCTAATAAAAAAGGTGCTACAAATACATATAGGCAGGAACCAAGTTAGCCTGCCAGTGTCAGGTTTACTTCTTGGAAGATGCCCTTACCCTGATGCACACCCTCCCCTAGCCAGTGATGAGCGTTATTCATTACAAACTGTCTGGACTGTGTCACCACACTGAGCCAAAGCTCCCAGGAACAGCCTGTCCTGTACTGTGATTTTGATGCTGCTAAAACTGCAGGTCACATGAAAAAAAAATTGGTCATGTGACCATAGAAAAGACACTATGGTACGTGCATTATGGGCGCCAATGGCAGATACGGGCGTATGAGACACTTCTCCAGTGTATGCACTGGGTAAGCAGCCGTCACTGGAATGAATTGGCTGCCATGTTTAGATTCATCATCCATTGTTTAACACGTCCATGAGTCAAAGCCATTTCTCAAATGTCACTAAGGATAAAACACTTCAGTAATTATACAGTGATAGCTCTGAAACGTCTCATCTTCTATTCTAATTATGTACGTCTAATAGCTATGAAGCCATGTTATGTTTCCCTGATGTCGGATCACCTCGCAACTAATGAAAACACATCTCAATAAATTCACATATAAATACTAAAGGGGGTTAAGTAGCCCACATTGAATTCAAATACAGACTCAGCTGCATGTTGAAAACACATCTCTCACCACCGTCTTTTTTTTTTCATCTTTCTTGTCTTCTACAGTCAAAGGAATGTTGTTAGTGTGACTCTGTTTTGACCCTTGCACTCTTTCTACTGGTTGCTGTTTGTGATCCAGGATTGGAAGCTTGCACTCAGTTAATCCTTCAACTAAATGACTATAATGCGCAAATTATAAAACAAAGTGTCATTTCAAGTACCACATTAAATCCCAACCACTGAATGTGATGATGGGTTGGTTGAGACTGAATTCAGGTCATTTTTAAGAAATATAAATAAAACACTGTCATTCTGTCTCACTGGTGACATGCGGTTCAGGTTCATCCACCATTCGTCTTCTCTTGGTTTTTCCTGAATGCTTTTAAGAGGCTCAAAATAATCTGTCCGGTTGAAGACTGCACCAAGTGAAAAGGTGGCTATGGCTGCTGGTGCAGGATTGGCTGCGGACTCATCGGTCTGCCCATCAGCCCACACAGACTTTGACCCGGGTGAGAGGGAAAGCTTGGCAAACATCCAACGCCTGCCCTGCGCTCTACTGACGTCTACTGTGCTGCTGCTTGGCACACTGCAGCAACGAGACACAGCAGCACGTGGGCCCTGACACACTTGTTACACTACAGCTCAACACAATACAGACGCTACATTCACAGAGCGCTGCTGTGTCTGAGGGAAACGAGCACGACAAAATGTTGTGCAGTTTGTTACAGCTAAGCCCTGTCTGCATTGTTATCAGGGTGTGTACGGCTTCATCACATCTGCTGTATGGAACACATGTTTGATCTCTATCAACTGTTCCATTAACTATTCAGTACAAACACCCCTGCTGTCCTGTCCCCAAACGGACCAGTTCAGCAGGTGTACCAAGGTCTATGTGTTGTGTGTCTCACCTGTCACTGAGGACGGCCCCTTCGGCCCCCGGGGGAGCGATGGACAGCTGGAAGGGTGTGTTGAAGTAGTGCTGCTGCTCGTCTGAGCGGTGGACCACCTCCCCTCCCCGAACCACCAGGAAGCCTGAGTCTCCCAGATTGGCTGTGTGCAACCGGTGACTCTGTCGGTCCAAAACCACAATGCAAGCCGTGCTGCTACCTGCAGACATACATATGTTTATTTTTCATTTCAATGCAAATGCGAAGCAATAGTGTATACATACAAATAAAATGCTTTATGAGCTGGGTTAGTGTGATAACTATACCACAGAAGAACAAAACTACAGGACTGCAAGAATTTTAGTGTAAATCATTTTAAAATGAGAATAATGTGTTTGCCAATATTCTCACGTACTCACTGCAGGCTCAAGTTGCTAATATTATGGAACTGCCAATACATATGATATTTTGGGAAATTCAACTACAAAAAACAATAAATAAAAATGTCTCCTAGGATAAGCACAGTTGTTACTAACAACATTAACAATAGCTGCGTATTCTCAGGAGGTGTCCCAGTAAGTCACGACAGAGTGAGCCAGCATGCACAATACCAGGCCCCTGAAGCTAAATGGAATTCAGCCATCATTCATTTAATTATTTACACCTGCACTTTTCCTACTGTGACATACCAAAATATTTTATAATATATTAATTAATACATTAGCCATTTGTTTTAAAAATGTGTAGATGAAGCTGTAAACACCCTAAAAACCCTCTTTTCTTCCTGACTTTCTGCAGCTACACAGCTTAGGAAATGACTGTGTTTATGGAAAGACACCCTTTTTACATTAATGAGGTTAGCCTGAATACACAAACTTGACGTGCCCACAATCAGCGTAGCGGTTTTAACAATTTTTCATAGATGGAGTTCCACCATCTGGGAGATGGTGAAGAGGAAACATGAGCTGGTGGAGCAGGCGGACAGCGTGCAGCCACACCCTGCTGGTGATTCATCTGGCACACCAAAATATGCTCTTTGGGATCAACCTTCAAAACCCCTCACGCACTGTGACTCACTCCCTTTCTTCTCTGTTTTCTCTCCAGCAGTACAATTACACACGCTGCCGGCCTGAAGAACATTCCCTCTGCCGTGAAGGAACAAGACACAATACAGTGTTGTTTCCCCTGCTGCACATGTGATAAAGGGGTGGAAAAGTACTGACACTCGCAGAGATCTGCTCCTAAAAGATCTGCTCGCTGATGTTTCGTGTTTGTGCACGCTCCGTTGTGGGGAAGAGGTGCGCAGGAGGAAAGGGCTTCTGGAAGTGAACTGCATGGGGCAGGTCGGGACTTGGGACATTCCCAGGACTTCTTAATGGGATCTGGCTGTTCTCTGACTCATGATGCAAAAATCTCCATCCAGCCACCACTAAACTGAACAGACAGAAACAAACAACCTAGCCCTAAATAGTGCACTCAGACTCAAACCACATGGAAAATGTACTGGTTCTTGGGCGAGCGCAGCATTGGTTGAACTGTACTGTCCTGCAGAGTGCATGGCAGGGACCTTCATCTGTTTAGTGAGCTTTTAAACAAGGTGGGAGGCTCCGAGTAGGAAAACTAGGTGTGTTTGGCCCTTCGGTAACATTTTTAATCCAAATTAGGTCGGACAAGAAGCAGACCTTGGCAGTCTTTTTGTATTCATTCAACTAGATAGGATAATCAAATCAGTTGTATAGGAAAGAATGGGGAGATGAGTAATACAGAGCAGCAGCAGACATCCAGATATCCTGTGATATGGTACCACAGAGGGAGAATGTGGCCTGAGCATAATGTTGTGACTCTGAAAGCTGAGATCCTGTGTTCCCAGTGGCTTTACGCACCCAGTAGTGGCACTTTGTTCTGGAGCAGCTCGTAGTAGCTCGTCGTGAGGACTCCCACGGGGTTGCTGGGAACAAAGCGTCCTTCCTTCACCAGCCTCTCACATGTCTTCATCAGTGTTCCTGAAAACTGTGATGGGTCCACTCCATAGTCCCGCCAGCCACCTACTCCATCTGCTACACCTAAAAAACAGACAGACAGGTGTTCATTTAATGATTGGAATTAATCACTTCCCCCTTAATTACAGTCCAACAACACCCTCTTCCTTCATAAATTTATATTTGCATTCTCTATTGTGCATCATTCTCCTTTTTAAACCCCACAAGGGAACCAAGTGAAAATCAAGCACAGAACAAAGTGTTGTTCCACATGTGAGGATCTTGCAAGAACAATGCCACGCAGCTGCACAATAAAGAAAAACAATGGACACTTTTACCAAGGTGCAAGAAGGACATCCAGTACTGCGTTCAAGAAATCAAGGACCTGTGACAGAAAGCATAAAACAGCCTCGGCCTGTAAGGAGCTCATCTTTCAGCTCCCACTGTTTCCTGATAATGTTAAGCAACACTACAAGAGGTTAAAATAAATAATAAAACATAGCTAGTTGTTATTTAGTATCCACTGTAGTTCTGTGCATTTAGACCTACTGATAGCTTAAGTAAAACATCAAATATACGATTCCACAAATGCATTCAAATCTTGTCATTACAAGGCCTCATTAATCGTTTGCTGGTTGTTCCCATAGGAGCATTCGGTCCGGTCCAACATTTTCCTAGAAAGGAAACTTCTTCTTGTTACTCTCAGGACTGACCATACAAGGATGTCCCTCTGCGTCTCCTCAGCCTCTGCCAGAGCACAGAGACCGGCCTGCTCAAAGCACACACTCAACTGCAACTAATCAAACCCTTCCAAAAGTAACCCGACTCGGTGAAAGGATGTCTTGATTTCTGCGTTTCCTTGTGTGTGTTGATTAACTGGGTATGCATCAGCACACAGGCATTGAGTCAGGCTGCACAGTCCTGCACAGGAACCTGTTTATACAGTGATCATTCTCTGCATAGTGCAGCTTTCACAGCCTGCATTGTTCTTTGTTTAAGGCCAGGCTCAACTCTACCGAATAGATAAAGAAGGTGCAGCAGGTGATCAACTAAGATCTAAAAATAAACAGTATACATGCTGTCAGTGAGTGAAATACAATAATGTGATGCTAGTACTAGGTGGACATGTGAAAGCACTCAATCGTGTCCCTCAGTGTGCTCTTCCACGAGCTTTCTGACTGTAAAATAGGACCAAATGTGATCGCACGTGCAATCCAACCTTCAGATAAAAGGAGGTGACCTTTGACCTCCCACTCACGTTATAGTCGGTGTTATCCAGTGTGATGTCGCATATCTTGGTTAATGTTTCCACATCAAACAAAGCAGACACTCACCCAAAACATCCGCGGATCTGTGTCGGGCGATGAAGCACGCGTCGTCCCCATAGCACATCCCTTTCTTCAGGATACCTTTACGGAAATCCTTGCCGAAGCCGCAGCTCGCTGTCACCAGGCTGTAGTCGCGGCTGTCTGTCTGAGAAAGTCCGCCGATGACAGCTCTGGCAACCAGTCTACCGTACGACAGCACGGACAACATCACCTACACACCAGCTCCCGGCAAACAAACCGGCCAAGCTAGCAGCCCTGCTAGCTTAGCGTCGATGTAGGCACACAATGTTGACCTGCTAACCTGCTAACGAGGCTGGAGATGTGCGGCTGAGCTGAGCCAGGAGCCGCCGACAATAACACACACACACACAATGGCTCTCTGATATAATATCTACAGCTCTATTCCTGCGCCGTGGGAACTGACAGAAAGTCACAGAAAACAGTCGGCTGTCCCGCTCCAACAGACCCGTAGCAGCCGGTTGTCGGTGTCCATGTCGCCTTTCTGCCTTTCTGCCTTTCAGTCTCTACACAACACGAGATATGAACGAGCTGCCCCGTGGCCTCGCGCACTCCGCTCTGCTAGCGAGGTCTTGTGACTGCTCTGACGTCAGACATCATTACGCAATCTACGTTTCCTAATAAGGAAATCTCCCTTTGAGTCCGCCCTTATCTCATTTAAAGTAATAAAAGTATGCGTAGAAAGGCTGTATGGGTACACACACGTTCCTGTGGACTAATCCACTTAAAATAGCTATTTGAAGTATGAGACTAAACATTACGCATGAGAATAAACAGAGAAATACCAGTGTGGTGGGAAATAATCAGAGGAAACAATACATTCCTGAATACTTGTAAAAATAAAAATATTAAATTCTCTTCCTTGTGGTATTTTTAAATACAATATTTCACACCCCTTTCCTCCATTTCCCTGACTTTGACTTTTTTTAGACTTTGCACTATATTCTGTCTCCCCCTTGTGGGTGTTGACTGATAGGAGCCCCTTTGTTCGTGAGGTGTTGTTGGACAACAGCAAGCATCGGTTTACAATTTTTTATTTCAGTCAGTATTGTGATTAATAAAAATAAACAAAAATTGGCACAAACAAATGGCATTCAGACACCAATTTCCCCCTAAAATACACTCAAAGTTTATTAGAAAGATTTAAACATTACAAGAGTGCTTCTTTATTTATTTAATTTAGCACAAGACTTGTTTAAAAATGTGATGGTGCAGTGTAAAGTCAATATCCTATGACACTGATCGTAAATAAAGTTTTACAGAAGTAAACAGGTGTTTGTGACTTTCCCCCGTTGGTTTTATAGCCATTAATACCCATTACTGACAGTGAGAAAAAGATGACAAATAAAGACATGAAAGAAACTGGAAAAATTGTGCACAGCTTCAAACAAGGCATTCCTGTGCATAAGTAGCCGTATTGTTACATTTTTCCTGATTGAACAGTCATATGTGGCAAAGACTAGCTGCAAAATGAGTGCAAAACACCTGAGGTTTTCATGGTGACATATCAATTTACCCCTGTGGACAAAACAACAAAATATTTTGCTTTCATCGTGTAGGAGTGAATATCTTTTCAGTATTGGCAGCATGAAGAATAACCAATCCTTCAAATGCAGAAGACGAAAGCAGAACAGAGGAGTGAGACCCCGGCCGGTTGTCCCCCTACTCATTTCTTGGCTTGCTTGGTGACCATGTTCCGGGGAGGAGTCACAGGACGGCTGCCGTTGGGCTTTTTCTTCTCAGCTGGTTTCAAAATCTACAAAAGGGATATAGTGAGTTGGAAATGTTGCATGAGATAGAGTCACATTACTGTCAAACACACCTATGAAGAAGTCCTTCTTTTGCAGGCGAACGAATGGTGACCTACCACAATTTCAGGTTTTGATTTTTTTCATTATTTCTCCATTGATTAAAATCAATAAATAATAGATGTAATAGACATTATGAAGGATCTGATCATGAAAATAACTCAAATTTCTCAAGTGTTAAAGTTTTTCTTACATGAATGTTCAAAAATGTTCATAATTCATGTACCTGCAGTCACAGATTTACTGTCACTTTATCTCCTTATTCCACACCATGGAATAAGTTCTCTAGCAGTCTAAATTGTCTACAATTGGCTTATGAAGTATATGAAATTAATCAAAAAGGTACTAACAACAACCAATTCATTGTTATTCAATTAAGCAGTATTTTACAGTTACCCAGTATGTCATATTAAAGTGCAATTCATATTATCCTAAAATCCTTAATGCACAACTAAAGCTTACCTGAAATGAGCACATGAGGGTCTCGTCCACGCTCATCATGGCACCAGCATTGTCAAACTCCCCACAATAGTTAGGCGCTGAGAACAAAGTGACAAGCTGCCTCTTTGCGAAAAATTCATAACCATCTTCCACAACCTGCAAGTGAGATAATAATTATAGAAAAGACAGGTTTACACGCTTAAAAACACAATCCTGGAACAGATGTTAACTGTACGTTGGTGAATGAGTGTCGGATATAGATCTAGATATAGTCTAGCACCGTGTTTCCCAACTTTATAGGTCCAAACCCTACAAGATGATTATCCCAACTAGAATGCCACACAAAATCATGTGATCAAGGGTCACAAGTGCTTTATATTGAGGGGTTAGAAGCCAAAAAGGTTGGGAAACACGGCCTAGTGTACACAGTATGTAATGTCCTGCAGTCCTAGTACCGAGTGTGTCTGTACGTCTAGTGACCTGCCGATATAGAGCCACAGTTTGTTTATAATGATGCAGGTGATTACCTGATGGGCACGACAGATCAGATCCAGGTCATGCTTGTGCAGGAACTTGGCCACCACCTCTGAGCCAAAGGTAAATGATACACCCCTGTCGTTCTCCCCCCAGCCCAGAACATCCTTGTCTGGATCAGACCAGAGCAAGTCGCACAGCAGACCCTGGTCGGGCACATCAGTGGGGCGCATGATGCGTCTGATCTGCTCCATGGACTGAAGGTCAGGTGACAGTCCTAAACGGGACGGCGGTAAAAGTACAAATAAACACACTGATAGTGAGGTCGATACCTATCGCACATGGGTGAGGCCTACGTCAGTTGACAATCTGCAAAGACAGCATTGCTCAAGGACAAATGAGAGTGGCTGACGTCAAAGGCAGACTACTTTGGACATTCTGCATAAAACTATAAGCACAACACTGACCTAAATTAAGGGAAATGTGTAAAACAAACCATCTATTTTTAGACTTAAACTATTGGTTTCTACTCTAGATTCAAAAACAGAAACCCACCTCCGTGGCAGCAAAAGATCTTCTCATCAACAATGGCGGCAATAGGGAGGCAGTTAAAACAATCTGTAAAGGTCTTCCAGAGTTTGATGTTGTACCTTCTTTTACCTAAAGAGTTCAGAAAAAAGATTTCAATTCAGCATTACTCCATAGCAATAAGAATTAAAACCAGAAATGAACTCCTACTACAATACACAAAAAACAGATGGGAAATGCCATCATCTATGAATTTATAAATAACTGAACTGGTCACAGAGTGTAAATACTTACACTCATCATAGAAACCATATATTCTGTTGATTGAAGCACACTCATGGTTTCCCCTCAGCAGGAAGAAGTTCTCTGGGTATTTGATTTTGTAGGCCAGGAGAAGACAGATGGTCTCCAGAGACTGCTTCCCCCTGTCCACATAGTCACCCAGAAACAGGTAGTTGCTCTCTGGAGGGAAGCCCCCATACTCAAACAGCCTCAGCAGGTCATAGTATTGCCCGTGGATGTCACCTACAGGACAAAGGTAAATCAAGGCACCATACTGAATATACACACTTGGTTCTTTGGTAGAATTTAAAAAATAAACCAGAAGAAAAAAAATAAATTATATATATATATATATATATAAAATAATTAAAAAATATATAGAATATTATTTATTTATTTATTTATTTATTTATTTATTATTTTTTATTTTTCTGCTATATGCACACACAAATCTTACCACAAATCTTGAGAGGGGCCTCTAGCTCCAGGAGAATGGGTTGGCTGAGAAAGATCTCCCTGGATTTGAGGCATAATCCACGGATCTCATTCTCCTGCAGCTGCACATTCTTGCCAGGCTTTGCCCCTCTGACTGCAACAAGAAAACACGAACAAAATCAGCAAAAACATTGGCTGAATTACAAAACGGCAGAGTAATACTATAACAGGGAAGGGGTTCTGTTGGAGCAGAAACATGGGGGGGGTATATTGTATTTGTGTTGTATTTATTAACTGTTTCTGGGGAATTGCATTTTGTATGACTTTAAATAACAATAAAAAAGGACCTTGAGGAAAAAAGAAGACAAAAAAGGCATGTTGGCAATGGCTGGCACAGTATCTCTATGCCGAGGCTGTGTGGGACAAAAGGTGAACATGTGTACTGCACCGGAATGCGCAGTGTTAGTGTTTGTGTGTGAGATATACAGTGTGTATTTGACCAAGTGTGTGTCGTTTCGTGCCCTTCAGATAATGTTAAACTAATATTCTCACACCCATACAGGTGATTAGGTGAAAACTGACGATTACTCTTCAGTGAATTAACGCTAGCTAGATAAACAGCTCTTTATTTTACAAGTGGTTGATACACAAACACTACAGCTAGCCGCCTATGTGCCGTTAGCGTATGTCATAACAACATACAAATAATATGTGGAAATATAGGCAATATGTCAGCATTGACTTACCTTCTAAAAGTCGCTGGATGATACTGTCTATGTTGAGCTTGTCAACATCAGCCATTGCAGCGTTAGCGTTAAAATCGACTCAGTCAAAATGTAATTAGGTCTCGGCGTTAACACACTTGTGATAGCTAGCCCGCTAGCTATCCTGGCATCAGCTACCTAACGTTAGCTTCGCGGATTTTCCGGCTGAGGGTAAAGATGTTGGTGCGACCCTGCTTCTGTTTAGCTGCTCGTTGACACTCTTGACAATCTAATACGCTACGTAGACATCACAGTTTAAAAAAAACATCTACATCCAATGTTGGCTTTTGCTAAGAAACAGGGACTAAAAAAATAAACGTCAACCGCACTAGCCTAACGCTAGCGATGGAGCTCCCCGTCTCTGTTTTTCTCTGCCGCACCTTGAACAGCTAGCCAGCTACTTCAAGGAGGCTGCTGGTAGCCGCTCCGCTGCTGCCCCCTGCTGTCCTGGATGGAGAAACACTCTGTAACCCTCTTAGATACAGCTGAGTGGGACCAAATACAAGACAAATAGCAACACATCAACTTGATTTGATGTTATAAGCATCAGTCTTCTTCAGTCTTCAGAAACCACTTTCAAGACACAAATCCCCCCTCATGTATATTCAATCAATAGTAATTAAAATGACTCGTTACTCTTTTCAAAAAGTATTATTATTACTTTACTTATCACTCCCTGCCAACAGACTACTAGGTTTATTACTTTTCTACTCCACACAAATTGTAATTTCTTCCCAAAATTCAGACTTACGCTGATTAAAATCCTTTTTTTGTTTGTTTGTTTGTTAAAATCAAAGTAATTCCAGCTGCTGACTGTAAGCATTTCCATTTTCCAAACTACTTTCCTCCGTGATTACAGAAATGAATCCAAGGATGTGAATGGACTGTTGGATTTCAGATCAGTAGAGAGAGACAACATAAGTAAGGCTGTAACAAATTATTTTTGGAGGAGTAACAGTAATATTATAGTAATCAGTTACACTACTAGTTACTGGGGAAAGTAGTGGTAAAATATTATTACTGTAATCTTATAATATATTAGTATATTATATTAGTAATGAGTTACAGCCCATCATCATCCATATGTCCAATTAAAGTGCAAATCTTATTATCTAAAATGCTTAATGCACAAAAAAGCAGCTCATGTGAAAAGAGCACATTTAGTATTTTACAGTGAGTTTGAGAGACAGCAGCATATTACAGGATAATTATGCAATAACTTAATTATTCATAAGCACTGAACAATGATATAGACCTAATAGTAGTAGTAAAAACACAATAGCCTGCTGGAAATAGTACATAGGCCTACCAGGTAATTATGGAGCAATTTGGGGTATAAGGGGCAGCTGACAATGATGCAGACATTAATGGTATGTTAATTTCAGCAGAATCTTGTTGAAAAAGGTATATTAACAGTCTGTTAGTTGAAAATCATAGGATGGAAAAGTAGTCTGAAGTAGAGCTCTCAAGTGCGCTGACATTTCTGACACGTTGACAGGGAACACATTTGTACAGTTGCTGCTCATACTTTGCTGTTATTAGCTGCTAAATCTAGTATTAAAAGAGTACTGCTATGATACTTCAATGTAATACAGTTTATCCAAGCAGATATAGAGTCTGGCAAACAGAAAATTACATTTCCCTTTCACAAATGTAGCACAGGAATTTCATAAAATATTAAACAAAGTTGCACTGTTAACTTTAACAGAAAGTAATATTATGGTAGACTTTGTTTCATCAAAAATTAGCTGATGGTGTCTCAGTTGTGAAAAATTAAAATTTAATTCATATGTATTTTAATCTTTTGAGGTTACAGTTATAGGGAAATTGGAACACTTAGAGAAGGAAAGGGTTCATCCCTAAATAGCCACGACTGTACTATCTTTGAAATAAACTCTGTAAGACCTCAGCATAGTGCAGCCAGAGTGCGGTTGTGGGTTAATGAGGGAAACTACTCCCTTCGGCCACCTTTTTCATAGAACTTTTATGATTGGACATACACATATCTTTCACATTTCGAACCTTTACATATCCTACTGCTGCACAGTCAGCACTGGACTGAATCTCAAATGACTATACACAGCTAATTAAATATCACTACTGAAACAGCCTTTTGTGCTGCAACTATGGGAAGTAAAGCCGAACACTAATCTATCTCCCTGGGGCCAAATGGAAAAGAGTAATTGTTGTTTCTCACACTGGGATTAGCTAACATCCTCGCAGGCCTGCATGTTTAACCTCCTGACCACCGGAGAACTCCCACATGAGCAGAACTTTATGGTTGTGCAAATAATATCAGTGCTAGCCTACCTTATTTATTCAGAGAGAAATATCTCACGACTTGTAATATATATCAAAACATTTTAAACACTTCTGTCACATAAACTTTTAATTTTACCTCTTACATGTACAGTGTAATAATAGACATACCTATACATACTGTAATAATTCAATTAATACTTAATTAATGCATAAATACACAATTTTGTAACTCAAAACATTGAATGCAATGTGAAACAGTTATTTTTAGCTCTATATGAATATAAATATTATATGCTGTAGTCTGTGTGATTATGCACATATCTCAGCACAAACATGACCCATTGGTTCAAATGTCCAGAGGGCAAAGTCAGGAATCTATTCTTGGTCTTTCTCTTCACCGTGCGTGATGATGTGGACCAGGTTCTTGTAGTCTAGGTTTCCTGCCACATCTGGTGGGAATGCCGCAAACATCTGTTCCATCTATGAGAATGAAAGTTAAAAAAAAAAATTTTGAGTGAAGAATATATTTAATAAAAACTCAACAAACATTGTCTGAGATGGAGGTCTAACCTCTTCAGGGGAGAACCTGTCTGCCTGGGTCGTCAACATCTCTGTCATACTGTAAAGACAAGCAGTGATGGTGAGTAGAGTGGACATTCACCTCATCCAGCAACAGAGTGCCAGGCTGCTACTCACAAGTCTTTCTTTAATGTTCCTTTCCCCTCAGGATCAAAGACTTTGAAAGCATTCAGGATGGTCTCCTCTGGGTCAGCGCCTAAAGATGAACAGTGGCAGCTCTGAGTTAATTAAAACAAACATAACATCTTTTCCTAAGAATTACCCTGAACGATTTTGAATTGTTATCTATGTATATAAATCAGACTCTGGACTATACAGAACACCCCCTCACCTTTTAGTTTCTCTCCAAACATGGTGAGAAAGACTGTGAAATTAATCGGCCCTGGTGCCTCTTTCACCATCTCATCAAGCTCTTCTTGCTTGACATTTAAACGGCCTAGAAAAGGTGGAAGTGAAAGCGAAGTAAGAAATGCCCATCATGATGTTCCAGAAACCTAAGGCAACATCCTCAGATTGCTTGTTTTGTCCAAAACCAAAAATATTCAGTTCACACGACACAAGACAAAGAAAACGCTTATGTTTAAGAAGCTGGAACCAGAGAATTACTGGATTTCTTTGCTTGAAAAATTTCTTAAAGTCCCCCTGCAGTCAAACATATGTTCTTCTTCTTGTTCCTACCGTGTGCTGTTTGAATGATGTATGTGCAGAGTTTTGACACTAGAAGGGATGTTTCCACATTCATCTGCTGAAAGTTGAAAGTTTCTCTGTGCTCTTTGAAAATCAGATTTTAAGGGGGGCGGGACCTGACATCACAAATCACTTGAAAGTCAGTTCTGGTCCAGTATGCAATTTGTACAGTGTGATGTAGAAACTTGAAGCCACCAATGCACATCCACTAAGATATATATATATAAATATTATGAATGATGAACAGACACAGGTGGTCTTACCCAAAGCTGCAAAAGTGTCTCTCAGGTCATTCTTGTCGATGAAACCATCTCTGTTTTGGTCCATGATCGTAAAAGCCTGCAGAAATTTCACTGTTACATCCCATGTCTCCACTAAGCATTCACCACAGAGCATACTGCTGAAATTCAATGTGAATGAAAACATTTGTGGCGAGCACTGACTTCTTTGAACTCCTGGATCTGGGACTGTTCAAAGATGGAGAACACATTGGAGCTGGCCCCGTCTGCTCTCTTCTTTGCTTTCTTTGGGGACTGCAGGGTTTTGACAATGACACACTAATTAGATTCAACACTAAAGGCGCGATCATCACCTGGCTCTGTGCTTCAGCTTCACTCATTATCGCTTTTACTGTGACACGTGCGCTTATGATAAAGAGCCAATGATCAGCAAAACTTACCAAGTGTGCGGGCATTAATTGCACAACAGGCAGGGTTTACACCAGGGCATGCATTTCATTAGGGGGGATTACAAACACTGTCAGTTTGTTATGGAAATGTTTACTCAAGCCTCCAATTTTGTGGGAATGCAGATAAGCCCGGGGAGGGTGTGGTCCACTGCCCGCACTCCTACAGTCCCAGGATCACATGAGGGATTATTCTATAGGGCCTGGGTGATGACAGGATGGTACACTGAGCCCTGTTTGATCAGAAATCCCTTGGAGACAAGGATTATGTCGAGCTATTTACATGACTGCCAAGGAACTGTGAAAAACAGTGTAAGGGGATGCAGCGCGATGACATCATATTGCTTGGATCCACGGGCCTCTCGACAGCTGCTGTCTAACCCTTGTTGTGGATTAGCACTCGAGCACTTGTGTATCTCATGGACGGGACCTCTGGCGCTCTGCTCCATTTATTTCTTTATTTTGTTTTAAGAGGATTCATGCAATCATTGGATGTGAGGCCGAGTTTGCTGTTTCTTGATGCTGCCCATGCAGATCATTCTGAGAGGACCAAACTTCACTGATCAAAATTACGCACAAACTTACTCCTGAGCTGCCTGTACCTGTTGCTTCTTTTTTCCCCCCTGCGTCCCTCTCTTCACCTCTTCTCTCCTGGTTTGCCCTCCTTTCCTCTTCTCCCTTTTCCTCCTCACTCCTCTCCTTGTTTCCTATCTTTTCCTCTACTCTCCTTTCGCCTCCTCTTCTCCCCTTTCTTTGTTTCTACTCTCCTATTTTTCCCCCTCTCCTCTCCTCTCCTCTCCTCTCCTCTCTTCTTCTTCTTTTCGGTCCTATTTTCTGTCCTCTTCTCCTCTCTTTTCCCTTTCCTGTTATCTTCTTATGTCTCCCATTTTCTCCTTCTTTTTCCTCTGCTATCTTTGTTTCCCTGTCCTTCCCTGTCTTCTCTTGAATCCTCTTTTCTCTTGTCCTTGTTTCCTTCTCTTTCCTTTCCTATCATTTCCTATACACTTCCCTCCTCTCCTCCTCTTCTTTTCGGCCCTATGTCCTGTCCTCTTCTTGTCTCCTTTCCTGTTTTCTTCTGTTTCCTCTCCTCTTCATGCTACGATAACCAATTCATGTAGTTTTATTTTTTTCAGAATCATGAGTAAATCAATAAGTCATCAATAGGACAACTGGAGTGCTGTCCTATTGATGACTTTTTTTTTCTTGGTCTGCATTCAGTGCCCATATTGACATGGAGAATATTGATTTTTTATCATTGGTGTGAGTAGAGCGAGATGTATAATTCATCAAAACATGCCATGATGGTATGTATAGTATAAACACATTAACCATGCAGCAGAAACACAATGTCTCCTTATAGTCTGGTGGTACTTTAAACAAGATTAAATTCGACGACAATGAAATCTGTGTCTACTTACCATGTTTCAGTGCTAGCTGGATGAGGAACAAGCAGTATCCTTGCTGCTTTGTGATGGAGAGGCACACAAAACAAGGGGTAGATATACTGACCCCTCTCCCCTCCATAATGCCACATACTTATGGGCTATAAATACTCCATGCCCTCTTTAGGCAGAGACCCAGGTAAAGAGGACTATTCCCTCACCACCGCCAGCCCCTGTCATCAGAGTTCATGAGATTTAGGGATAATAGCCAAACACACACACACCCCATTACTGAGACCCAGGAATAACAATAGGGCATAGCTTTGGCTCAGGAAGGACAGTTGTTTTTGTGACTGACAGTTGCACTTGATGGGATCCATCAGCCAGCTGTCCTGTTAGTGCTCCACAGGGGCCAAAACTATGTTATGATGGAAGCTGTTTCTTGGTAGCACAATAAACGGAACTGTTAGATGAAGCTATCTTAGCCCCAGTAAGACCAGCATGCGAGGCCGTGGAAAACATTAGTGGGATATTGTTCATATCATACAATGGTGTGGAGCTTTTGTTTCAGTTTATGAAATGGAACTAGTTTAGAGGGTTTCACACTCAGCCACAGACCTTGACATGTCTTGACCGACATAACTGTGAGGTGAGATAAACGTTTTGTGATAGTGAACGGCAAGTGAAGTGGATTTTAAGAGTAAAGTCAAAAATCAGTGAAGTTATATGTGAAAGTCCAGTGTTGACTTATTACTTTGTCAGTAGGTTATTTGTGGTATACTTGTTACTATATGATTAATCCAACATATAAATAAAAGCAATACCTTTCAATAGAATTAAATCTAATACAACACCACAGTCCACACATCAATCAACACCACACACTCGCTGAATGTTTTATTGCCCCCCTGCACTCAGAAATATGTTTTGCTAATTGTTCACTTGGATGTTTGAGCTTCACTGTGCAGGAGGATGTATGTGACACTTGAAGTTCCCATGTGCTTGCTTTAAAACCTAAATTAACACATGTAGAATTTTATGACATCACAAATAGTTTGAAGTCAGCCTTGGACCAGTGTGCAGTTCATACAATGTGAAATTTGAATCCTCCAGTGCGCATATACTGAGAATTAACTGTACAGTGAATCAGGAGACACATTGTGTGCCGTCGTTCAACTTCGACAAACCACATCAGACAGAAATGATTTCTATATTCTGTATGTATGGAGGAGATCTTTACTTTCACAAAGGTACTTTTTATGACTTATCTCAACATAAAATATAATCTAAGTAAGTAATAAGTAATAAGTCTGATTTCTTAATGTTTGAACTGTGAACTAGTATAATGGTTGTTTGAGGGTTGAAGACCTAAATTTCGGATGGTCTGAAAAGTACTTTGTAGACAGCTTGACCAAAGGTTTATAGTGATAAAAAGGTTTGAATTATCTGTTCACCTGAATTACAAAACATGTTTTGAATCTTTTTATATATATATATATATATTTTGCGTGTTCACAGCACTAAAGATGAAAACTAGTAGTTACAAGTTCGGAGTTTAAAAGCTGTTTACTTAAATACATATACTTTTCTGAAGATTACTAAAAATTAAATTGTTAATTTACATTTGTGTGACTAAAAAGCCCCTCACTGACTGATATTTTGGCAAGTAATAGCATGAAAAGCCCAGGTGTAATTAATAACCATAATTAAGGCTTCACTGCAATTAGATGTTCCAGTTACAGGATGGTGGCAATGATAATGGCTCACAGGCATGACTTACTAGAACACCTACATTGGTAATGTTATTAGTTCCACCTCTGCTTTGACAAGTCAAAATGTCTGCTGTGACAAAGGCCTATAGGCTATACCCAGCAGCAGTGATGGAATGTAACTAAGTACATTTACCCATGTACTGTACTTAAGTAAAAACTCAAGGTACTTGTACTTTACTTCCATTTCCATTTCATGCAACTTTATATTTCTGCTCCACCACATCTCAAAGGCAAATACTATACTTTTTACTCCACTACATTTATCTGTAATCTCTTTCAGATTACAGGTTTTTCAAACCTGCACTGCAAAAACAGCCCTTCTAGAAACAAACCAAAGATTCTTAATTATAATAAAAATTTGCCAATGGGGTAAGCCAATTTTACTTGGCTAGAATTCTTAAAACTAGCATAGAAATCTATCCACTGAAAGACTGCAATGGACCTTAAAACTGTAAGATAGCTGTGCTTATTACAAGCACTGAAAACTCAGTTATTTAAGACAGACTTTCTTAAAATAAGTATTTTGGTCACTTTATTGAGCTGAATTTAAGAATTTGTACCTTAATCTAAGATTAATAATTAGCAAAACCTTACAAAAAGGCACAATTTCTTCAAAGAGCTTAATATAAATAAAATAAGTGACTTAAATAAAGGTACCAGAAGCATGCTATTTTGAGCATTTTTATTAAAACAGTGAAAAACTAAACAGGTGCTTCATTTACAACACTGGGACAAGACTACTTTCTGTTAACGTCACAAAGCTGGAAACAGGGCTGTTTATCTGAGCTCATGAAAAGTTACGTGGTTCTCCCAGGACAGTGACACTACAAACATATGATTGTGTTATAGAATATGATGAATTGCTGTAGATTAAACCCAACAGTATGTAATATATAAAGGTATAATTTCCACATTAAAATCCTTAAAAAGGCATCTACCCTGTCTATCTAAATAAAAGCTCCATAATCGGCGTGCCCACAAAGCTCACCTGGTGCAGCTGGAGTCCAACTGTAGGAACAAGAAGAAAAACAGATTTTTGAGTGATAAGGTCAGTAAGGTCTTAAATGCAGGATTTTCAATTGCAGTGGATTATTTTCACAGTGTGGTATTAGAAATAAAGACAAAGGCTCATGCTTGGTCACGAACCCACCCTGCAGACTGCTTTATTTCTCTGACCATTCATTTACCTTCCTTGTCCAGTGGGTAGTGCTAGCAACCCACAGCACTGCCACAGAAATCTGATCTCGACTCATTCTCAGCAACACTGAAACAACTCACTGCTGTTTCTACATTTGTTGTCTCTCGTAGTTGTGAGTATGTTATTAATGTATTGTACTTTTAGTTTCAATAAAATCACTTGGGAATTGAACATCATGTACCTAATGAGGCATTGAATTATGTTGATGTCATTTCTATTCATAAAAATTGCAAGACATTATCACATTTTCTAATGAATATTTTAATAAACTTTAATATGGTCCACTAATCAACCACCCAGCAAAATATTCCTTTTAATACAGGCAAAGTGCAGACACACGAGAACGTAAACAAGTGGGTGGGCCCTTCTGGAGCAGTGCAGCTTATTGTAAATAATACTTTTAGTAGAATGCATATGTATAATTATGGTTTAAAGACTCAACCTTGCTCCTGCTAACTGCTTAGACAAAGCAGAGACCTTTTACCTCTCTGCAAACCACCATTTTATTTGGTTTTAGTCACTCAGTTAAATAAAGCCTGAGAAATTAACCAAGGCAATTATTGCAAAAAAATTAAAAAGGATAAAAACATTAATACACAGTCAAAATAAAAGGATTAAAACACACCAAGCCTACCGGAGTCAGGGTGCCAGGGTCCTAGTGACAGTGTACATGTTGTCACTCACTCACTGATGACTATCGTACGTGGGTCTCACAGAGCACTACGTACCCTCCAGGACAACAAGGTACAAGGATTCTTGTAGTTGTGGTAGAAATTTGCTGTAGAAATTTAGCAAAGGCATTGGACATGACATTTGTTTGTACAACTGTGGTTCAGGTGGTGTTTTTACCACCCTAAAATCCCCAAACAAGCTCAAAGAAGCCTCTATCTCTCATCGATGATATGACATTTCATTTAATATACTGCCGGCATTTTGAAAGAATCACAGTAATTTGAAGTCCCTCATTCAGTGACCTCATCGAAGCAATGGTTTCCTTGCTCTTGGATAATTTCCCTTTTGTGCGCAGAGTCCTCATTTTAAGTAACCATGCATTACTTTTTAGATTAAGTTTTTTTTCCAGAATAATGTATTAATTTGAGTGGGGTGACGAGGTTACTGTGAGAGGCCCTTGGTGCTTTGTTCATGACAGTGCTGAATGTGAGGTCAGGATTATATTCTGAAGCACAGAACTGATTGAGTCCATGCGTGTGGATGCAGAGGGTCGGCAGACAAAGCGTCAGCCTCTGGAAGTGGAGATTGTGGGTTTAGGTCCCACCTGGGTCCCCACAGAGCCTGGGTGCTCTACATTCCTGTTGAGCCAGAACACGGTGTTCCTACCTGGCACCTGAAAATGTCTGTGATTACAAACACATTGCAAGATCTGCAGGCAAAAGAGAGGTTTTTTTAATGGTATGTAAGGTCAAAGATTCAACTGAGGAAATGTGTTTACTGAAGAGTCTTCAGCCCGTCCCACTGTCACTCTTCCTCGCTGACCCTGCTCTCTCTCCTCTCTGTTGAAGTGTCTGTGAGAATTGTTGCATTACAAAATGTGCTGTATACTGATCAGACCCTCTACTCAGATGTTAATTAGCATAAATGCTTCATTTTTGGTGATGAGTGTTTCAAAATTAAGTCGGGAAATCATAAGATTTCAACATCACCAACCCTGGGACTGATTTCTTCCTAATCACCTTTGTCCATACCATAATGAGTTGCAAATATTAAAATCTGTCTACCGTAGCTCAGCTGTGAGTTTTGGTTTTGTGATACATCCCTATCTTCCTTATTATATTTCAACCGTGTGTTTTAGCCTCACCCTAGAGCCACAAATAAAATGCAATAAGCAAAACTTTTAATAATCTTCCTTCACTTTCCCCTTAGGTGTTTGTCTATGGCAGAGGGATATGTCTTTGTCCCCCGAGGTGCTAAAAATACGACCCATGAGGATATTATTTTCTACCTGGACTGATTTTCATAAGGCATATCAGCTGGAAGCTACTGTACACCGTGAGGTTGGCGCACGGTGATCATGGGGTGGAACGTGGATACAACCATTGGTTTTGATGGATACCTTCACTCGATGATAATGGTATAATTAATGGAGGAAATCACACAAAGCTCATCTGCACATAACCTTGCCTC